GCCATAAGGCGAGTGATGATGAAACCAAGATGAACCGTAGTTTGTGTGCAAGTGCGTTGGGCATTGTTCAATGTTTACAGCGTGGCACTGGCTGAAACACGGACGGGGCATGTTTCATGATGGTGGAGAGTGGTACCCGGTAAGTAGTAGCAACTACCTCGTACCGGGTAACAGCTTAGTACTTTTGGCGGAGTGGCACCATGGCAACTAACAGCTAGCAACCTCGGAGTCCGGTAAACGACTCGTTTCAGGTGGCGAGATGCCAATTTGCACAGCTGTGTAGCTGAGAGTATTGTTGTGCACTGTATGCGTCGACAAATTTCCACTGATACTGAGGAAGGACTTAAGAGGGGCAACTCCGTACTTCGAACCTTACACACCTCAGATACCTAGGTGCCTAGGTACACTTCACTTTCAACTCACTTTCAACTCACTTTCAACGCACTTTCAACGCACTTTCAACGCACTTTCGCCTTGGTTACATTTCCCCCTCGATGTACTTCAGCTCATTCTCTGGGATTAATATAGCTATGTATGCAGCGGAAATCAGCATCTCGCTGGCTTCTATTATAACTTTACGCAATTATTATGTAGGAAATAGAGCGTGGCAGACGGCCGTGTACCCGTCTAATAAGTCACTACTCAACCGCCAGTGAGGCTGCTCCCCGACAGATTGTATGTACATGTCAAGCACAACAACGCATCCCTTCTGTCTTCATGCATCGGGCTCTACCTCGCTTCTCTGGCAGTGGCACCGTCTTCTGCATTTTCTTCGTTGAACCTCTCGGCCACTCGGCGACGCCGAGCTGAAACTTTGCTCCCCTCATGCTTTTCACTTTGTGGTCAGCTGAACTCGCCCACCCACCGCTACCCTCCTCTTGGTGACAACGATGGACAAGTGTCTCTTCAAACCTTTGAGGCCATCGCTGCTTACCTAGGTATCGCCGCTGTTGATCCCTGACGACCTAGCTCCCTCGCAAGGAAATGCTCTTGTCTTATGGCTAATGCCAACGGCGAATCAAAAGCCCCAGACGGCCAAGGACGCGAGAAACTGCGTCATATTCAAGGCCATGGACCTCACGGCTATCACACATTGATGCGGGATTCTCTAATTCACGCACTAGAGCTCTCAGTCGGTTTACGATCTGACCATCGACATCCCAAAGGAGCGCACACCAGCGCCACCCCTCTTCGCCAACCTAGACCAGCTCTGACAACTAGCTCACAGCAGATCTTAGACCGCTGCTCGTCCCAGCACTCAAAGGCTCTTACTCCTATCCGTACTCCCACCAACGAATCGTATGCCTAGTCGACCGAATTCTTGTCTCGATTTCGAATGCAATTCACCTGCCGCTCTCTCCCAAAATACTCCTCACCTCCTATGCAGTATACAACATCCGACCGCAGGCAGGAAGATACCGCATCGTGTCCGAGAATGAGTAGGAGCGCGGTGAACCGACCATTTCAGTCCAAGACCGTCGAAAGGAGACTGGATACGCGGACCTGTTATCAAGTCTGCATGCTGCGTGATTCTGTTCACTGCTCCTGCTGATGCTGGTGCTACGTTGACGGGCGGAACCCCTCCAATTGAACATGTCAGCTTTACTGGAGTCTCGGGGATTCACCGATATTACTCGTCATTCTTGAATCACTCCAGTCACTCTGCTTCCACCTCGTCCTATTCAAGGCCGCATATGCTTCAGAGTGCATTGCACTGCCTTGTGGGACGGCCTTGCCACCGAGCACATTTCACACACCACCATCGCTCCATAGGCGTGAGGAGGCAGGACAAGCCAAGATGGTACCAGGTGGCTCAAGGAGAGAAATGTTGCCTACAGATCTCTTGACTGTCGTTGACTTCAGACGAATCATAGCTCTCAACTCCCCCGACGAATAGGAAACTCTCCTTTCCCGCTGCAAGGCCCCTGGTCCACCTTCCAGATCGTGTCATGGAAGATCTCTGATAGCGAGATCGAGCTATAATGTCGCGCGTCCAGCTTTGACGGGTCTGCTTGCAGCAGGACCAGGTTTCTGGGAGCGAAACCGGGCAGCCTCCAGAATCTATTGTTCGAACTCACACATGGTCGTATGATGGGGGCTGCTGTGGCTAGCTGAGCGAGCTGAGGATCGGCCACCGTGAGCCAACCATCTCTGTCTGTCCCACACGCTGCCTGTGCGGTCACGACGAGGGAGGCAGTCGGGCGAACTTGATTGGTGCACGGGCCACCAGGCTGTCTTTCTCAGGGGTCAAAGCATGCATGATCGGTTGGGCTGCTTGACGTGATCGGGCGATGAGAGCGGAGTCATTCTGGTGATTTGTATGCAAAGTAAACGGGCAGCAACTCCACCCGTACCCAATGATCGAGCCGACCAGTTGAGGGTTATTTGGGCGAGAATTGGTGTACAAAACGGATCGAAAAATCAATCTTTTGTTGGGCCCGACCAGCGCCAGTGGACGAGCCGCCGAGAACAACCTTCAGCACCAGCCACAGTAACAACTTGAGGCTGAAGGATGGATCCTTCGTCCTGACAGACAAAGTAAGTCTTTTGGCGATCACCCATCATTCCGCCTCATTCTTCTCTTCTTCCATTCCTCCGGTAAGCAGCTCGGTAGCCATCTCCTCTGTATGCGACTGCGCAACCGTCTTCCTCACTTGGAGTTTCACCCCCAACCCATTGCACCTTTATGAGCTCCCTGCTCCCGAGACGGCGCTCCGATACCCTCTGTATTCGATATGGGAAATATTGCTCCAACTAGTGCGACGCCCGTGAAGCTGGCGCATCCTGGGTGCCTCGCCAAAACGCCCTCGCACCCCAAGTCCGACGGCGCATTGGGCTCGAATCTCCGAGGACGTTCCACAAGACTGATCAGCTAAAAGTTCATGCTTCCTTCGTCGACATCTCCCTCCTGCCTCGCTGTTCCTTCCCCAGCACCATTGCACGACGCCGCAATGTACGAATACGCGATCTCCCCTTCAATCACGTTAAGGAGCCGCCTCGCGATGGCTTAGGGGACATCTGGGCCCACCGGCCTGCGCAGCCCGCGACCTGCGGTGTCTTCCTACGACACAGTCTCTCCGCCGATTCTACCTGTATGGGGACAACCTGACGGTACAATTTCAAAGCATCGTCTTGCATTAGCTGGGAGATGACTACTTGCAATGCTCTCGCAGTGGTTGCAATGAAGATCGCTTTGACTCAAATCTACGGAGAACCTCGCGCCTGTAGGGTTGACCACCATCTAAGTTGCCAACAAGGATTGGTAAACAATAACCTAATAGCGACGACCGAGTTCAAAAATCTCCGTCTAACACATTGCCGGGGCGTCTCTCAGTTGCGGAACAACAATGGCTCAGCCACTTTTCACTAGTCTCTGGCCTTCAGCTCACCAAAACAGCAGGCATTCAGGTCGCCAGAAATTGCAGCTGGTGTGAAATTTACATCCAACTGGTTGAGGCGGCTGCAGTTTGCTTCAGGATCGGGGGTGTCACGATTTCCTCTTGCTGTGGATTCCGACCGCTCCTCATGTGCTGGTGGATTTGCTATCTAGGCAGTTTGTTCTATCTACACCACGGAAATACGCGTTGCAACGCCCCTCTGTGGCCGGGTTGTCTACACGAGTTGAACGATTTAGAGGTGGGAGCTCCTGGGCCGACGTTCAGTTAGTTGCATCGCGCACAGCCTCAGCCTCATATTGTTTATTATAACTGTCTTTCATTGGCGGGGCCTAGTTGGGCCTCAGCCGCACATTCCAGCTCGTCTTTCGCCCCCAACTTCAATGCTCCGGTCCAGCGCCTTTCGTTCTCGTCGCTCCATGGCAGCTTTCCTTGAGATTGAGTTTCGCTTGACTCTGGTCAAGACAGATAAACTTGATCATGACTGACGTCTTCAGGGATTAATGTCGTCTAACGCGAGAAAACCTGCCTTGCTAAAGAGAGCTGACACCTACTTTCCTCGAGTTAGGATTCCCGGTCCTGGTAATTGCCTTAGACTCTTCTAGTCGGGGGTCTACTTTCGTGCTTGAGATTTCTCGAAACTTGACTGCCCACGTCGACTCTGGTTAGTCTCACATCACGCCGGGACTGCCGAGAACATCTCAACAGAGATTCGGGACGAGTCTGTTATTTTGGGGGCATTGAATTAGCAACAAAGTCATTGGTTTCGACTGACGGTGTGTCAGGATCCGCCTGAAGGGCTACTACTACCCAATATTCCGTGATGATAGGCGGCAAAGCCAGCTGCACAGACGGAGAACCTGTCTTTAAATGTTACGCTCAAGCAAGCAATGACTGCACCAGTGTGGATATGACGGGCCAAATTGACCTGAGGACGTCTATATGACCGGTAATCCAGCCTGTCCAACCTGGAAGTAGGCGCCCCTCTTGTACCAACGGCTAGAGAATACATCCGTGGGCCAGCTTCTCCGATGGCGGGCGCAACAGAGACTAGACCAACAGACATTGTCACTGTCAGGTCTCTGATGGACATCATTATGGCAACGGGGATCTAACACCCCGCCGGAGAGAAGAATAAAAAGAACGGCGGGAAAGAGGGAGGAGGAGAGCAATAGGAGAGAAAACCAAATGAAGATATCACACGTCACCTATTATCACGCCCCATCAGCGACAGAAATTTGAAGCATTGCCACCATCGACGTACAGAGCATATCTTAATTGGGCCGCAATATAACACCGTAAAGGAGGCCCGCTCGAGCATGTATACGCATGTAGAATAAATAAATATGTATGCAATGTCCGCCTGCCCATCAGCACGTCAATCAGTACGTCTTGTGGCCCTCGTATGACAGATACCCTGAAAAGTGAAGAAGAACAGATAAAAACGCCCTGTGAATGCAGCGTGGTATGGGATGGTATTATCTTCCTCTCTTCCTCCCCTCTCTCTAGCTCAGTGTGGACACTGTTACCCATTCATACATACTCTCTCGAGAGTGTGTTTTTGTTTGGGCCGACACAACTGCTGAGCCATCCGCAATCCGCAATTCAGGCGAGCAAAGTCTTTAGATTCGCTAGCGCGGCCTCGAGCAGCTTGGGCACGTAGGCCTGTCTCTTGGCGCCGTCGACGATGTCGGCGACCTTGGCCACTACGTCGGCTGACCCAAACTTGTCACGCGCATACTTCCGGAAGGCGGCCTCGATGCCGTCGGCGTCGTCAAACGCGCGCGGGATCACCTCTGAGAAGACGGAGCTGCCGCCAGCGGCGCCCGAGATGATGTTGAACCACTGCTTCTTCTGCTCTGGGCGCATTAGGTCCAGGGCACGCGCGAACTGTGTCGTCTCGTACGCCGACACCAGGTGGATGACGGCGTGCGCGGTGGCCAGCGCTCGGATCATCCCGTCCTCCTCCTGCTTGCTCGCCGAGGGCTCGGGGTTCCCCGCTCGCTGCACCACGAGGTCTGCTCGCTCCGAGTTGAAGCCCAGGTAGTACTGCACGATGCAGCTGTCGTCGGCGCTGGCGTGCGTCTTCATGACCTGCGTGATGACATCGCTGGCCGCGTTGAGCAGCGGCAGCTCGACGCCCAGGCGCACCTCCTCATCGCGGATGATGCCCACGTCCTTGTTGATGATGGCCGTTGCGGACGCCATTGGCGGCGACGCGCTCAGCATTCGCGGGCCCCGATTCTCGAACATCCAGCTCCATCCCAGGCGCGTCTTCCCCGTCGAGGCGTCCTTGGCGGTGAGCACGTCGTAGAACTTTTGCGTGTCGACGCCGTTGATGGCCGCCAGCCCCATGATCTCTGAGGCCGATGGGATATGGATCCCGCACTGGACCTGATTCAATGCCTTTGCTGATTGCCCTGCGCCTAGCCCGCCTGGGATGGGGAAGAGCGTCTTGCCCTTGCTGGCGACATTCTCGAGCACCGTCTTCGCATTAGGTTCCTGGAGGTTCTTCATGTCGTCCGAGGATACCATGATCGTTAATGTGCCGTTGATTGATCTGGCCACGCCACCAGACACAGGTGCGTCGATCAATCGGACATCGGGGCGGTTGAATTCGCTAGTCAACCGCTCACGCACGGTCGATGGCTGTGTAGGTGGGATCGTCGCGTGGATGATGACGGTGCAGTCCTTAGGGAGGGCGTGGACCGCTCCATTCTCGTCAAACAGGGCAGAGTGGACGTGGTGGTGGTTCGCAACCATCAGACACACGACCGAAGCGTTTTTGACCGCTTCTGCAGGTGAGTTGGCCGTTTTGGCACGAGACTCGGGCATCTCGTCGCACGTCGACCGCCAGCGGTCCAGGGTCGGCCCATAGATGTCGAAGCCTGTGACTGGGAATCCCGTCCGGACCAGGTGTGTTGACATGGCGAAGCCCATCGCTCCAAGACCGATGAACCCCACTTGGGGAAACTGATTCGCCGTTGACATGACCGCCATTGCTGTTCAATGGGTATCTGATGATTCTAGGAGGATATCTTTCGTTTTCCGGATCGGGACGGGGCACAAAGACGCTAGCTAGATGATGGTTGCCTTAGTACCTTGAATAGGATTACAAGAGATGGCCAACACAGACGACGATATGGGGGTATCATCAACGAGGCAGCAAACCCAAAGTTCGAAATGGACGTCAATGAAGGAAGCGGATGTCTGAGTACGCAAAGGTGACCAGGATTGTCGTTAAATAAATACTTGCCGATACCTTTCTTCCTCTCATCCATTCCCACGGTTAAATGCCAATGGCCACCCGGTATATATCGGCGGAGAGACCGATGCCAAAAGGGCAACAAGGTGGAGATGCAAAGGTGGAGGAGGATCTTTTGTCTTCTCGGCTGTTGGGATTGTGGAGAGAATGAATGAAAAACCTCAACCAGGCAAATGCCGGCGGCGTCTCTCGGGGGAAATGCCGTGGATCGTGGCACGTGACCTGACATCTTCAATCACGTGGATTCACCTCACGTGATTAGTTTGAAATCTGCCAGTCGATGTGACTGCAATGTTTTGAATGTACCGAATACAAGATCCTCTAGTCCACCAAGTCGACACCTACTGCAGTTTGGCTTGCCCAATTCCATGCAGCGGTGCAAGACAACAACCCACTTATTCGGGCGCCGCTCCGGCTGGATACGAAAAAAGCCTTCCCAACAGATGAGGCTTCGGTCCTAGCCACCGCGCCCAGAATCCCTGTCTTGAACCCGCAAGGTGAGTTTCTCCTACACCCTCCTTTTACGCCTGTGTAACCCACGGAAATTCCCTGCAATGTCTTTTGTGCCTAGGACTACCTGTCCCAATGGCGCGTGACAATGATTAAGCCACCTTCCCCCCAAAGCCTATGCTGATTGTCTTTGACGACCAGGCTTGATTGGTTTGATATTTCGCAGCCTCACTAACCGGACAGCTGTCCCCCTGTCAGAAAAGGCAACATTGCAAAGCATTTTCTGACACGCACTGACACGCAGCTCCAATCTTCGCGGGGCAACGTGCAGCAAGCACTGCGGAATTGTGTCGCTCAGCCTCGCCAGTTGCCTTGTCACCCTTTCCCGCAACCGGTCTATAACATGTAGCTGCCTCCCTCAGGCTCGCTCTTTCTCTGTAACCACTACTTGCTTAGTTCTTGTTTCTTCCCAAAGAGGCAGACGGTAAAGTTGACTAGTCGCTGATCGAGCCAAGATGTCTGGCAAGAACACAACTAAGAAAATCGCCGCTCGGCCTGGGCCCAAACACGGCGAGCTCCGTCCTAGTAGCAGGAAGCACCGTGACGACGACGATATCAGGTCACAAAGCGACGCTGGGTATTCCTCTGTGACGCGCATGTCAGGCTACCGACATGAGGGACACAAACCGTCCAAAGGGCTTCCCCAGCTCGAGGATGATGACTTGCCATCACTCGACCCTCGACTCCAGCGAAGACCGGAGCCACTCCGTCACAATTTGGATTCGCTGCCACCAGCAGAACGTCCACCGCTGGTTAGGAGCCTAACAGCGGTGCCTTACCTGGCCATATATGAGCATTGCGTGTTGCTTCGCAAACATGGGATCTCGGTGACGCTGGGGCAGGAGGTATTCAGAACCATAACTCAACAAGGCGGTATTGAACCACGGCCAATGAGCTACGGCTACACCTGCGGCGCTCACAACGGCCCCGTTGATGTACACAATCCATCTGCACAAGAGAAGCAAGCCGTCACCGAAGCCATCATTTTTGTCCTGGATTGTGGGGGAGAAGTTTCCATGACCGGCTTCGATCCTCAGCCAGTCATGCGGTGCAGTGCTTGCTCCAACCCTATCTCCAACCCCGTCTCCAGTCCGGTGTCCCGCCCTACCTCCATGCGAAGAGATATGGATGAACACAGCAACCGCAACTCGTTCCAGCATGGTCAAGGATGTCACCCAGGAACATACGAGAACAACCCCCAAGGCACTATCCCGATCGGCCTCGCCAACGGCTACGACACTGGCCGCTCTGAAGGCAATTGGCCGGGTCATGGTCGGTGAAGGGGTCCGACATATATATTCTAGAGTCCCAATTATGTCTCCAGGCCCTCGGGAGGCATGTTTCTTGATGTTCTGTTCTTCGTTCACGACCATGTTGGCTCAGGCCTTGGGTGGCGGGTTGGATCTTTTCGTCGTGTACTACTATGCAATTGTTCGACTTCGGGCTCGTCGACTGGGATTCACAGAACTTTCTAAGCCAGTCACGGTGGGTGTGAAAACGCACACCTCATTTTGGGGACTTTTGGATTCGGGAATCTGTCGAGCGGACAACCTTTCTTAGTGTTTCTAATAGAAGACAAGTTCTCTATCTATGTTGACATTCAATGACTGACCCATTCACTCTTCATCAACTCCTTTCTCAGGCTGAGTCTCGATCCGCAGGCCCCTGTTGGTACTACCGGGGTGACCCTCGCCCCATCTACGTCATAGCCTCACGCCAGCACCATCCACGTCTCTTCCCACTCCTCTTTGTTCTCGTCCTCCCTTCTCGTCTTCTTTTCATCCCTCGTTTTGCTAGCATTAATTCGTCCAATCGATTCATTGCACTCTGCATGGGTCGAATGCGCAAACCATGAACGTCTGGAAATCGAGGTGACGTACCAGCCAGGGCCAGGCTGCCTGTCGTGCCACATGCCTCTTGTTCCGCACATGATGGCATCATACCCTCCAAGTCCTCCGGGCTGCCTCTATATGCGTGATCGCCCTCGTTGCAGACCCTACTTGTTTGTTTGGAGTTTGATATTCCTTGGGTTGAGTTGATCTTTCGCACACGATCGTCAAGTCTACCATTTTCGAGTACCTGCGAACAAATTATACACCACCAAAACCAATCCTGCCAATCTTGTCGTTGAACACTATACGACATGGAAGGTGCAAAGAACTGGTACAACAAGCAGTACGAGGCCTGGGTACCGTGGATCGAAGACAAGGTTCTCGGCTGGTTCGGCGAGAACAAGACCAGCTACGTCGCCAAAGGTACGAGAGGACAGAAAGCCTCACCACCGTCATGACCGGTCCTAGTCAATGACCCCTTCTCCTTATGCCTTGGATGTGAGTATCTGCTAACGAGTTGCGATGTAGATAACCTTAACAAAACCAAAATCACCGGCGATGAGGACGTGGATGCCATTCAGGACGACGTCAACCAAGGCGTCGGCGGCCAGTTCGGCAAAGGAGGCCTGCTCGAAGGTGTGGGCAATCTGACGAGTAAGGAAGTGCTCAACCGCGGAGAGAGGAAGGGAAAGAATGAGAAAGGCGGGTACGGGTTGTGAGGAGAGGGCGTGAGAAAGAGATAATGTCTGTCAAGCACAGACGCTCAAGTTGAACGCCACCGAAATTGTCTTTTGGGAGTATGTGGATGGAAAGTCGGTTTCTCTACTTGGTAGGTGAGTTTTTGCGATGATATCACGATATATCGATTTTCGGCAACCCTTGCATGATGGAGGGGGGTGGTGTTTAATCTGCATCCGGAGGACGAGGTACTCTCTTGTCTGTGCTGAATGAGGCCCTCGTTGTTGATCCAATGCATCACCTTAGCGTAGAGGACACTGCTCAAGACTGCTCCAAATATGTGTCTGTCTGACGAAATGTCCCCAACTTTTCCGGTGTCTCCCCTGTGTCAGACGCGGCTATTTTTTTCTCTCATACACAATCTTCTCGAGTCAACGTACCGAGTACACACCCCGAGAGACGAACGCTCGACCCGAACACACTCAGCTTTCTCTCCTTCGTGATTGGTGCTCTCCCATTGGTGTCTACATATACTCATCGTCGCCATAAAGGGACAAAAAGGCAAAAACGCAAATAAAAACAAAAAACAAACCCACAAAGCGCCCATATGCAGAATGCGGCGCGAGCAGACAGATGTACGTTATGCTCCGGGTGATGGAGCATAACGCAAGGCGACACAACGCAACAACATCGTGGGTGTCCACAGACACATTACGTATCTATCCGCTCTGCAATGGCATCTGGGAGATTATATACAAGGGGAAGAGAGCGAGAGAAGAATGAGACATTTCTCGCTCTTCCGCAAGGATAGAAGAACACCAACGCCATCCATCCATCCACATTTGCTTTTCCAAATTCGCCCTTCTCATCAATTTGTTGCATCTTGGTTCCTCTTATCAATCAGGTCGATACTGTGAATCAACATCGGTACTCGCTCCAGGTGACTGAACGAAAAAAAGAAGACAATGGCCTTTACAAGGCAAACCACGTCGGCTAGCCACGATGGTGCGATAACTGCCGTCTCCCAGCCTACGATCACGACCACAACCACGACCACAAGCAAGATGACGACCACACCATACTTCTCCTCGTACGCCTTCGCTCTGCACTCGATTCCCGCCGCGTGGATGCTCTCGGTCCCGCCGCACGCGTACCTCTTCTCCAAACTCATGACGGCGTCCGGGTACGCCTACTCGAACCTGGTGCCGCGGGCACAGCTGACGACGTTGGCGCCAACGCTGCCAAAGGCCACGGCCGACATGCTCTGGCGTGCGAGAGGGTGCCATCTGAATGCATTGGAGGGGTTTCCGCTGTTTGCGGCTGCAATGGTATGTTGCTGCTAGTTCTCTCGTTCTGTCATACCTCTTTGCCTCAGCCCTTCCAACTCACACACATGCTCATCTACCCCTTCCCTCCCTTCTTTCTTTGTCTTCCCTCCTCCCATGATTGTTTTCTCCCCACTTTCTTCGTTGCTCCCCTTAACCGCTCAGCAAAAACACGCCCACAAAAGACCGCAAAAAACCAAAAGAAAACACTAACGTCCGGGGTGGCACAGCTCGCAGGGGCACACGCCAAGCTCGACGCCCGCGACCTCAACACCTGCGCGGCGGAGTACCTCGTCGCCCGCACACTTTACAGCGTGCTGTACATGACGGTGCGCAGCGAGCGGGCCAGCTACCTGCGCTCAGCGGTCTGGGCGTGGAGCGTGGGCATCCCAGTCTACGTGCTCTGGAAGGCCGGGTGGAGGATCGTCGACGGCCATGGGCAAGACCAGGAGCAAGAGCCTGCGCGAGGTGTGGCCGGTGAGAAGGCGAGTCTGTGAAAAGGACGGGCTGAAGATGATGGCTGTGGAGGCTGGATCAAAGAGATCCATCCAAGGTATGTGTGTATGGGTGTAGTATGTAGCAGGAGAAGTGTATGATTGTGAGGACTGGGCCATGGAATGCGGCGGAGAGGCGGTCGAGGTAACAAACACCTTTCGTTGGTGTCGGGCATCGGCCAATGCTCGTGTACTTATAGTAATTGTAGACGGTGCAGGAAAGTAGCTGCTCACGCGTCCGATCATTTCCAATATATAAACACACGCAAGAAAATCCCTCGTTCTTCCTAGTGGCCTTATGCTAGTCAGTGTTCCTTCCCTTTTCTTCTTCTCCAAGAGCCTGTGCACCCTTCTTTCCCTTCTCTCTCTTTTCTCTCGCGTATCGGATACTCCTCGACCACCCTGCCGTTACTGCCCCTTTCAGACTTTGCACAAAGCTTGGCCAACGGATCGTCTGCTCGATCACCTGTTTCACTTCTTCCCTCAGCCCACCGCCTTCGGAATCTTGGGCGATTCGTTGCTCAAAAGGTCCACCTTCTCGCCTACGAATGCGATCGGGATCCTCATCCTTGGTCTTCTCCAGCATCTTGTTGAACTCGCCGCGTGGGATTTTGAACTTGGATTGATACTCAAAGTAAAGTTTCTGCCGGAAGGCGTTGGGAAGACGTCGAACCATGTGCCCCCGAGTAACGGGGTCCATGTTTTGAGCCAGTTTAGAATTGATAGTTGGATCGTCCAACCAGTCTCTATTTGAGCAAGCCGGATCATTGAAGGAGATATTGGGAAGGTTGTCAATCAGTGGTGCATACAGACGGCGGAAATTGGGTAACTGGTGTTTGACAATGTTCTCGACCTTTCGAGGGTCGTCTCCACCGATGCTCATTCGTGGATCGCCCATATACGAAATCCCCGCGATGGTCGAGTACAGTTCTTTCTCGGTGAACTCAGGCGGGAGGAGAAGCAATGCTGTGCGGACTGCGGCGATTAGGTTGACCTGGTTTGCGAGGCGCACTGCCGGATTGTCCCGTAAGATTTTCACAGGCTTCTGTAGGCGGCCAGCAAGATATAGAGTGTCCCATTCGGACAGATCTCTGCATAGAGTATCCAAGTTGACCACTCCATATTTGATCAGAGTTCCATCGACGGTGACGTAAGGGTTGAAGTAGACACCCGCCCCAAAGGAATCTTGCACTTTGGAGACAGCGTAAGATCCTAGAGAACCCAGCCAAGAATAGTGGTCTCGGTGTTCCTGGAGATTCAAAGAATGCCAATGCTGACTATAGGAGACCCCAAATATAAAATCAATCATCTTCTGATTTCCGTCCTGAATCTTGGCGATAGCCTCTGGTGGGTTTGGGTGCAGGGTTTTGGACCCTCCGCCTTTGTCCGCGCTCTGCGGGAAGACGCCTGAGCCATAGGCAAAGGCATAGCGGATAGGCGCCCGAAACTTCCACAGGATTTGTCTCAATGCCTCCTTAAACTCTTCATTGATGATGATGTGTTGATTGACCCCAAAATCCTTGCCGGGTAGCTCGGAGAACTTTGAGATACTAAGGTCAGGATTTTCTTCCCAATCGGTCGGGGTCGATGTAGAGGATGGAGGTTTGGAGGAGCCATGGCTTGAGGGATTCTGCTCGGAGGGACCGGAGATGCTGGAGGAAGACGGCTGCCTTGATGGAGACGGACTGGGGCTCTGCTTCGCCTTGGAGGCATCGAATCCTGGAGGCGGAGCACTGTCATGTCCTCGATTTTCCTCGACAGTGGCATATCGCCTGATGGCGATATTGAGAGGGAACCGCTGAGCTGCGGCGAGGACAGCGAGTCTTCTGGGGTTGCCGCCGAGTTCTTGAAATCCCCTCTTGCCCAATATGCTGGGCACGGCCCGCAAGGTCATCTTTGAAAAGTTGGGCGCTGTTGTTTCAGCGATGCAACCATTGCTTGGATCTCCCGAGCGCTATACCACCGCTTTACAAGTCAAATCGTGTCTGCCTCTTGTGGGCTGACACATGTGCAGGGAGAGGAGAGATGAGGTCTATTGGATCTGGGCCCAAAGGAAATATGGCACGACCGAGTAGGAAGGTCGGGCGAACAGGGCACGTCATGCGCCAAGCTGCACGCGGCCAAATTCGGCAGAATCAACAAACACTGGCAACATTCGACTTCAATCAACGGTCCTGCCATTATCTTGCAACACCTTACAGCCTCACCGATAGGCACAATGGAATACGCAACGCTCGAGTCGCGTCTTGCGACTTTCGAACCCCCATCAAAACGATCAAAGCTAGGATGGCCGCATAAGACACCGACGCCGGAAGAACTTGCGCGAGCGGGCTTCTACTACAAACCCTCCAGCGCCAGCAATGATAACACCATCTGCTACCTTTGCGAAAGACAGCTGGACGGATGGGAGCCGGACGATGACCCAATTGGAGAGCATTATAAACATTCAAGCGACTGTGGCTGGGCGATATTGATGAGCGCGGGGCAAGATGCCAAACACGACATCGGCACAATGGAAGATCCCACGGGGCAGCTGTTTGCCGACGCTCGCCGAGCCACCTTCGCCGTCGGATGGCCGCACGAGTCAAAAAGAGGTTGGCGATGTAAGATTGAGAAAATGGTGGAAGCAGGATGGCATTTTGCGCCCCTACCGGACAGCGAAGATTATGTGTCCTGCGCGTTTTGCAAACTCTCTCTTGATGGCTGGGAGCCAAAAGACGACCCTTTCGAAGAGCATCATCGGCGATCCCCAAGCTGTCCCTTTTTCCATTTTGCAGGGACCAGCGCGCCAGCCAAGCGCCCCAAAGCCAAGAAAGGCCGCACATCAAGAGCGTCGCGTTCTTCAAAGGCCTCGACGCGTTTATCGACACAGTCGAACTCGCAGGATTTGACCGTGCTGTCGGAAGCTCCCAGCGCTGTTAACGATCCAGTACCGGATCTTGATGAGTCGATAGATACGAGTACTATGTCGGCCATGTCGGTTATGTCAACAGCATCTACTGCTACAACCAGAAGCAAGCGAAAAGCTGCTGGGGGGCGAGCGAAAGCGACGAAGTCGAAAAGGGCGAAGACCACCCAGTCGACAAGAGCAAAGAAGGAAGAGCCTCAGCCAGAACCCGAGCCGATAAATGAAACAGAGATTCCAGCAGAAGTTGAGCCCGAGCAAGTTTCAACCCAGGTTGACGATGTGGGCATCCAGCCAGCGTTTCAGTCACAAGAACAACAACATCTTCCGAGTCCAGCGCCCACTCCTCCCGCAGAGGTCGCATACCCATCATTAGATGAAAATAACACTCCCCCGCGGATATCCAATGAGCCTCGTCTTCTGAGTCCTCTCGGCCCACCCCCCCAAGCATCACCTACGCCTGTGAGGACACGGCCATCCACATCCGCCGTAAGAACAAGAACGCCGAAGCCCATCACCGGCAGAATGAAACCCGCTCGTTCTGCATCATCAACACAAAAAGCCAACAATAACTCTTCCCCTGCTTCCTCCCCTTCGACTTCAGACATTGAAAATGCCCCGCCGTCCACTCGTCCTGCGTCCGAACGCCCCCCTGTGCCTCCTCAAAGCTCATCCTCTCCCAGCCGTCAAACTCAACTCGCTTCATGCCCCAACAACGAGAGCGCAGCAGAAATGCCGAAATGGACGCCCGCAGACATAGAATTGATTTTGACTTCCACATTCCCCCAGAAGGCAGGAGATGCAGACATACTGCCCGGCCTGATGACGGGCTCCTCGCAGCTCTCCACGAACGAAAAGGCCATGACGGTGCAGGAATGGATCGAATACATCGCTGAGCAGACGGAGGAAGCGTTGAGAGCCGAGGCGGAACGCGTGGTGGGCGTTTTTGAATGCGAGGGAGAGAGGGCTATGAGGGCTCTCGAGGGCATTGTCTGTGCTTGAGAATGGGAAAACAATCTAATTCACCGGAATGGAATGGAATGGCAGAGCGAAAAGGAGTATCAGAAAGAAGAGACACGCATCCGATTGACATTGACGAACGGGATGGACCACGCGGACAACCAAGCGTTGATTTTTCTTCTCATGTATATCTTTGGAGGGCGCGGCGCTTTTGGGACGCCGAACTGGCTTCGAGACCCATGGTGACCACACCGCTCAGGCTGCTTTGATCTATCCTGTTGAGCATTCCAGGTTACGGTTTTTGCACAGTATGGACCTGTCAGCGTTACGGTAGAGGGAACACGCATGCTGTTCAGCGGATCTTCTCTGCAATGGCAATGCAATGCAATATTGGATGAGGCAATCCACGATGGATCCGTACACATATTGATCGGCGTAGGGGGGTAGCGACTGGTGTTTGGGAGGAGTATTCGACGGAGGCGAGGGTCTTTGCAGCCACCCACAGCCAATTCACGAAACTGAAGTGGTGATACTGGACTAGAACAATTCTCCAGACTTCAACCATGTTGTTTCATATTTCCTCATACTGGTTTTCCGGGCTCTTGAGCGAGCCCTCGTTCGCCACGGGTTAGACTCTTCTGAACATGGTACCGTGTGTAATGCTCGCCACCCGTGCGCTCATCAAGCACAGCATAGATAGCCAGATATCGCAAAGGAGAACCAAAACAAGAGTTGGCTTTCAGAGTCCACCACAGCTGGGATAAAGCATCGAGTACGGCAGTCATTGCTTTCTTTGTTGATACGAGCAGAGTGGAGGGAAGGATGCCACTTTTTGTCTCGCAAGACTCCCCTACACAGCAATGTCTGCCCCGACAAAGTCCTTCTCTTCAATCAGCTGGCTCTTGGGCTGCGTGCTCGTTCCGGCCAACGCGGCGTCGAGGGAGCGGTAGTTGGCAAGTTCCTGCATTTTGCCTATACACCCTCCCATTAGCACGGGGCTTCCCCCTCGATCCAGAAAGGGGGGGTTTTCCGGTTCACTCACTTTCACTGACAGGGCTCGTTGTGAAGATGGCCTTCTCCCGCTCGCCCAAACTCGGGTAGATACCCTCATTGATCAACATCTCCGCAAGCGATCGCC